AGCACATGAGTTTTGTGTAGTTCCATAAATGAAATATTTGGAACCACAGTGTTTAAAACAGACCAAAACCTCCCTTCCATTATTATACAATTATGTATTGTCATTACCTAATTATTTCACATTGATCCTGGTCCAACGGGCTTTCACCAGACACTTTACTTTGTGGTTTCATTAACTACTTAATTATCTACATTAATGTCAAATACAAGATTCTGGAAGATGTGGTGGCATAAATTAAAACCTAACTGTAAGTAATTTCACTTACAAAATCTCATCCAATTGATCACAGACAAGAAAACTCTACTACCTTAAGTGATGAACTATGACGGGGTAAAACATGTTTGCTGTGGCTTCCCCGTGCCATGTAACTAAAGTCTCCTCCTGCACTGGTGGAACAAAGGCCATTTTTACCTTAAATACATTATTTGCCATAGAATTTCTAGATTTGGGCCAGCAGTCACGGTGCACGCCTCTAATCCCAGCACTTGGGAGGCAGAGACAGGCGGATCTCTATGAGTTCGAGACCAGTCTGATCTACAAGAGCAAGTTCCAGGACAGGCCCCAAAGCTACAGAGAAGCTTTGTCTCAAAAAATAAAAAAATAAATAAATGGGCTGGAGAGATGGCTCAGTGGTTAAGAGCATTTGCCTGCTCTTCCAAAGGCTCTGAGTTCAATTCCCAGCAACCACATGGTGGCTCACAACCATCTGTAATGAGGTCTGGTGCCCTCTTCTGGCCTGCAGGCATACATACAGATAGACTATTGTATACATAATAAATAAATAAATATTTAAAAATAAATAAATAAAATATTTTCTAGATTTGGCACTAGAGCTCAGCCTTAGCTTCTTGGACCCAAGTTCAAACCCTGCCTCAGTACCTTTGCTCGGTGAAGAACATTAGTCACTTAAGCTTTAGAAGGTTCCATTGCCTTCAGCTCTCACACAACAATACTGCATCAGCTAACAGGGTTACTAAATGAGACAATCTCTGTAAAAGACAAACTGCCAATGGTCAGTTCCTAATGTTTCCATTACACAGATGTTGGCTTTTATTTTGGTTAATAGGTAGTACTCTACATCTGCCTACCTGCCCCTACAGATTTAATCAAGGTCTTAACCTTCTCAATTGGGTCCAATGGCAGGCGGCTTTCTGACCAAAACTCTAAAACTCTTCACAAATTAAGGAGAGAAGGCACGTCACAAGTGTCACTCTGTTTCTGAACTCCCCTAGACCTCACACCTCACACCTCTCACTCACCCTCAGTTCTCCCAAGGCCAACCCAGTCGGACTGGGGTCTTATACAAGGAGTGGAATAGCATGCAAACCCAGGGCTGATGAGCTGCAAAGCCTGTGCTCTCTCCCACTGTTCACTGCCCCGGGGTGAACAGTACCTGGAGTACATGCTGCCCTCTTCTAAGCATTGGCTCCAAGCTACTGTCAAGTATAGCTAGCTGAACTTCTGCCCCCTACCTTCTTCTCTTGTTCAGTTTCCCTGTTGCTAAGGAGCACCCATGATCCTCTACCTCCTAAAGACAGAGCCTAGAAGTTCTGAGATCTCTGCTTGGACCGAGACAGGCAGATGGGCTACATCTCAAAGAGGTACAGGTCTTCATTCAGTCACAACATAGTTTTCCAGAGTAAAAGCACAGGCTCACAAAGGCAGCATTAGCTGTTCCAACCAGCAATTAAAGAAATGAACCGCTGTTTTAGTCATTTGAGTGAGTCATAGCAGATCTTTCCAGAACAGAATAGTATCTCAGGCATGTGTAAGTTCTATGGCTACAGGTGTCCTGAGCCAGGCTTTTTAACACTGCAGTAGTACTTACATAAGGCACATGGGATGATTAGCATCTTTCAAAACCATTAATGCCCTCCTTCAAGAGGCAAAACCCTATTAATGACCACGACAGCACTTTACTGAGGTGATGGCCATTCAGCAAATAAAATCTGAGCAGCAAGTCCCCTAAGAACAGTGAAGTCATGTCCCTTTCTTTAGGGCACCTCTGAGACGCATCTTTACTCAAAGAACAATAACTGAAGTTTTGCAAATGGGGTAGAAGGGTCACTGCAGATCCTGACCTTGTACCATAGAATAAACAGAGTGCTTCTTCTTGAGCCTCAGCCATACAGGGTTAGCCATATGCATGTTTGAATCTATACAGAAACAGCCTACTTAAGAAATAAGGCCCAGCTAGTTTATATAAACCCTCACAACTATTCATATAAATAACTCATCAAATGGATGTTAGTCTGCCACCAAGATCAAAGGCAAAGCAAGATGAAAATGCATTTTTCTAGATCTCTTACCAGACCTGAAACATAAAGCTTGAGAAACAAACAAACAAACAAAAGATCCAAAGGACAGGCCTAATGAGTATATTCTACAGTAGACAAATGTGAAGAAAAGCAGGTCAGTTGAGACGATAAAAAACATAAAACAGCCAGGTGGTATTGGCACAGGCAGGCAGATCTCTGTGAGTTTGGGGGGGGGGGGCAATAAAAAGTGTTAGTAGGGATTTTTTTTTCTCCCTTATAATTCAATTTTAAAAAATTTTAAGTGAAAATGTACCGTCATAAATATTTGTCTGGATATAACTGAGTATTTCTAGAAAATTCTATAGATACAATCATCCATTCCCACAATGAAGTTCAATTTTTCAACTGAAGGGGCTGAAGGTGCCCCCGTGTGGCTCCAAAAGAAACTGCTACAAGTTAAAAAGACCAAAGGGCTCCCACAGTCTGTCTTTCCCGCTTCTCCCTGAGACAGGTCTCACACAACTCCCTCTGGCCCTGAACTCACAATGTAGACAAGACCAATTGTGAACTCAGTCTTAAAATCCTGGTCCTCCTTCTTCCACCTCCCAAATGCTGAGATTACAGATAGGGACACCACACCCAGCATTCACTTCCTTCTTTTCAAAGTGGGAAGAGGGAGTCCTAGCATGTAGCTCAGCTGTTACAGTGCCTGCCTTTTAGTCCTGAGTTCAACCTCCAGTAGCACATAAAGCCAGGGATGGAGGCAACCATCGGCAATCCCAGGAACTGAGGAGGTGGAGGCAGGAGAACCAGGAGTTAATTCAGTGCCAACCTTGGCTACCTTAAAAGTTCAAGCCCAGCCTGAGCTGCATGAATGAGACCCTACTTCAAAAAACAAAACAAAATAAAATGGCTTTGATGTCTTCTGTATGTGATTTTTACATTTTTTTCCACATCTGGCCATATGATTATTCCTGTCAAGACACCAGAAGCCTTGATTTCCACCAGGGAAAGAGATTTTGTTTTCTAAAATATAGTAACAGACCAGACCCCTTGAGGTTGGCTAAAACTCCTCCTCGGAGCTGCCAGTTTGGACTTAAAGTATAGCAAAGCCCTAGTGTGAGAACAGCTGAACACAGGAAAGCAAACCAACAAAACTGGAGCAGATTCTAAACACAAGCGCCTTCCTTACCTCACACTGGAAAACAAGTACAGCTTCTGTTCCACTTCAGCTATCAGGGGATCAGAAGCCAACCAGGGACCAGAATAGAACTTTAGACAATACCACAGAGATTTAATTTCATATCAATCCACCAACACCAACACAAACTTGACCTCCAGACACTTAAACAGAACGCCACTCAATCCTGTGACATGTGAGCAACCAATTTCTTTAAAAAGCTTCTCTTCGATTATAAAGCACATGTATAATATGTCCCTTTAAAGTGTTTTCAATGAAAAAGATGATTTCAATATCATCTTATTGTGGTTGTAGTTCAGTTGGCAAAGCATCTGTCTAGCACACAGGGAGTCCTTGGCTCAACTAATCGATCATTTGTACCACATAAATCAGAGTTGTAATCCCAGCACTCAAGATGGAGATACTGGAGGAAAAGGACATTAAATTCATCCTCAATTACACATCAAGTCTGAGGCTACATAAGACCATGACTCAAAGACAACAGCTATGGCTGGGGAGATGGCTCAATGGTTAAAAGCATGGGTTTGGTTCCCAGCATCCAAATCTGGTAGCTCACAACTGCCTGTAACTTCAGCTCTAAGGGATCTGATCCCTCTGCAGGCAACTGCATTCACACACACATACCCTGACACAGACATAATTACTGGGTGCAATCTGGGTGCAGTTTGTGACCCTGAACACTGGTTTCTTCGTGCTGCCAGAGGAATGAGAGGATTAGATCAGTGCTGCTTCTCCTTAGTCTCTAATCACTATGTCAGGGAGTGGGGAGAACACGCTCCTAGGAGTCTCTGAAAGACTACAGCTATATGTTCTTTCCCAATTTTCAACCCCATTGCATTATTTGCATTTTCTTACACTTTTGCCAACAGCCTAACCCAGCTGCCATTAAGTTATGCCACAGCACCAGCTTTCTGATCTAATCAGAGCCACCTCGCAAAATGGGAACTTAACTACTCAGCACCAGTCTTTATGGGTGTCAGAGAGCCTAGGCTCTATACCAGTCTGTCCATATAGAACCCTAGGCTGCTTAGTCAAGAATCCAGCACAAAAGACAATTTCTGAGACACGAAAAGAACAAAAATGAGACTCTCCTAGAAGTACCCGCAAAACCCCAGCATTCCCATTAGAAATTAGTTTCAGACACTGTTACCCTGGCCTTGGATAAGCAGATAAGCAGACAGAGAAAAGCCACTAGAAAAGTAGGATTTGGCAAACAAATTAGCTGGCCACATAGAAGGCTCCACTTTACACCACACCAGTATCTGTTTTTCTCTGGTGTTGAATATATAATCCAGGAGCAGTGGTGACTCTCCCAGCACTTGGGAGAGAGGCAGGCAGATCTCTTTGAGTTCAAGGCCAGCCTGGTCTACAAAGCAAGTTCCAGGACCTTCACGGATGTAGATGAGTGCTCTACCTACCAATCCACCCCACACCCTACTGAGTACACAGAGGACCCCTGTTTCTTGTTTGTCACATCAACTGTTTACCCAACTCAAACACAACAAAATATCTCAATTCCAGGACTCAAACAGAATCAATAGTTTTCAATTCTGAAGTCTTGTATTAAAAACAAAACATATTCCATTTCACATGTCAATAAAAAGCAGCACATTACCAAAGAACAACATTGAAGTGGAGGAGGGGACAGGTACACATCTCCGACTCTGCTTCCTCAATTCTGCTCTGAAATAGGCAATGTCAGAAGCACAGCAAGTGAGCAATGCACTCTTCCCATGTGTTCCCAGACTGGCCCTCTCTCCACCTAACATTCTGGCCACCTATCAGCAGGCTAGCTCCTTCCTGAGGGCCGGCTCAATCAACTCCAGGTCCCTAAGAAAGCAGTGTCTTGAAGAACACCTACTTACTGAAGGACACATTCCAGGCAGCAGTCACAAACAATACCTCTGGCCTCAGGGAATGAGTTCAAGGCTGAGACGAAATGCTGGAGGAGGTTCCAAGATCCTCCTGAGTTTATCTGCTAGCAATAGTCACTAGCAGATAAACTCCTCCTGAGCCACTGTGCCAAACACACAACTCCAGATCACTTTAAGAGGGGAAGGGTTAAAAATGGATTCATTTCTGCTTTTTTCTTTTTATTTAGACAAATGTCTTTCTCTATGGCATAGGCTGACCTTAAACTCAGAGCAGTCACCCTGCCTCAGCCTTCAAATACTGGGATAAGTGTACTAAATTTCTGCTTTGTAACATGATTCCACATGGTGTCACTAAAGGACCAGTAGTGAAATTCCTCTGGCTTCCCAATAGGCTCCGCTTCCAAAGTTACTTTATAGACTTTTTTGTACTGATGTTAGATGTTAGGGACACAACCCAGGATACCTTCTACACACTTGCACCATATCCTTAGCTTTATACAGACACTTTTCTAACCGTAGAAGAAATTAAGAATTAACTACCCCAACAAGCCTCAGCATTTGGTTACGTATGTAGGTACAAAGCTGATTCATCAAATCCCTGTTCTGGCCCTCAACCCAATGCATTTCAACTACGGCGCCATCTACTTCCTTCTTAATGTTGACCAGGCACTTAAACAGGTAACGTGCAGCTGCTCCGTCCAGGCCGTCTGCCTTCTCAGAAGCCTCTCGGGCTTGGGCTCCATTGCTAGAGCCTTTACAACTTTCCATGGTCTCCATCCCTCCCCTTTCCTCACTCCTTTCATCCTCCATGGCTTCTAGAGTTTCCTCCTGGCAAAGTGACTCCTGGCTGAGGCGATGGCCACCAACAGTGGCAGACTCGCCTTCTGGTACAGCAAGCCCACACAAGGCACTCTTCTGGGAGCGTGGAGCCACGTCCTGGCTACCACTCAGCTCTTGGGAAGTGGACTTTCTCTCCTCCAAGGCTAGGATAACGTCCTCGGGAGCTCGGGGAACCTCTCTCAGTTGTCTCACTCGCTCTCTTTTCTTCCGCCTTAAATGAATCCAAGAGTTTTCTATAGCTGTCAGGAAAAGGCTAACTTCTTCTTTTCCACACGGAATTCGTTTATGATGAACCTATGTGGAGGAAAAAGCAGAATTTTATAGGCAATCATCTGTCATTACTTACCAAATCCCTTCAATTAAAGAAACCATAAAAGTCACTATGGGTGAGCACTTCATCAATATGCTTGGCCACACACCTTCAGATCAGTGAGAATTTTTTCTATCCATGTTGTCACAACTACTATGCCTTCTACTGTCTCAGAGCCCAAAGACGAGGCTTTGAGGGATAATTCTTTCATCACAGACTCCAACACCACAAATGTAATGGGTTTCCGTGGCTTTTCTAATTTTCTTCGTTTACTTGGAGGTGACTAAAAGAAAAAAGGAGAAAGTTATCCCAACAATTAAATACAGTGCATGACAGTGGACACAAGTGGGGACAATCCCAGGGTTTCTGTTCCCAAGTACAGGGCATGAAACAAAGGCCTTTGCACGTGTTCTTTCCAATGTTGGAGACAGCTCCGCCTGTTTCTTCACTTTACAAAGCTATGTCACCATAGCTGAGTCACCATTAGCAGTAACAGAATTGGGATTCAAACTCCAAATACAAATTCATTCAAATCCCATCACCTTACTTTATTCCAGCTACCAGTATAGACATTCTCCAAGCACTAAATGCCTTTTCTATTTGTGGTACCCCATGCAAGCCCATAATGAATTGCACATACACAGGGAGTGTCACCCCAGTTTGTAAAGTGTTTATCATACAAGCCTGAAGATGTGCACCTGATCCCAAGAATCCACATTAAAAAAAAAAAAAAAAAAAAAGCCTGGTGGTACGTTTGTAATCCCTTAATGGGGCAGCAAAGACAGGACGATCCCTGGGGCTCACTGGCCAGCCAACCTCACTCAACTGGTGAGCGACAGACCAATAAGAAGCCCTATCTCAAAAAGCAAAGTGGACGGCTACCCAAGAACAGTAGCCAAGGTAGTCTAGTCCTCTGGCCTCCACACTAAGAACTACTACTACCACTTTACTAGTGCACAGAAAGGCTGATTAGAGATGTAGCTCAGAGGTAGAGTACACACCTAACATAAACTCATCAACAGTGTAGCTGCCTGTCAGCGGAGGATGAAGGATACCAGCACCAATGAGAACACTACACTTGAAACCAAGGGCCATGGAATCCAATCATCACCAAACTCTCTACTTAGGGAGAACTTAGGGAGGCTACACTCCTCCACCCACTAGAGGGACTAAAGCTCCACTTAAAACACCAAGAGTAACACTACAGTAAATTATTTTTCTTTTCTTCTTTTTTTTTTTTTGTTTTTTCGAGACAGGGTTTCTCTGTAGCCAAGGAGCCTGTCCTGGAACTAGCTCTTGTAGACCAGGCTGGCCTCAAACTCACAAAGATCCGCCTGTCTCTGCCTCCCTAGTGCTGGGATTAAAGGTGTGCGCCACCACCGCCCGGCAGTAAATTATTTCTTTAAAGTTAAAATTTTCTACATGGTACTCTTAAAAAGTTACATTTAGCTGGGAGCAGTGTTGCTAAATGCAGGTCTTTTATGCCAGCACTTGAGAGGTGGAGGCAGTTTGAGGGTAGCCTGGTCTACAGAGTGAGTTCTAGGATAGTCAGGGCTACACAGAGAAACCCTTTCTTGGAAATCAAAAAAGCAAAAACAAACAAACAAACAAAAAAAAACCAAAGAAGCCTGGCGGTGGTGGTGGTGCACGCCTTTAATCCCAGCACTCAGGAGGCAGAGACAGGCAGATCTTTGTGAGTTAGAGGCCAGCCTGGTCTACAAGAGATAGTTCCAGGACAGGTTCCGTAGCTACAGAGAAACCCTGTCTCGAAAAAGAAAAAAAAAATTATAGTTAAACACGACCCCCTAGGCCTCTGGCACTAGGACACTTTTATATCTTAATACAACTGAAAATTTTTTGTTGTTGTTGTTGTTTCTGAGGCAGGATCTCAAACAGCCAGGCTGGTCTCAAAACTCTCAAGGACGACCCTGAATCCTCAATTCTCCTGCCTACCATATTAGACAGTACCAACAATTAAAGGGCCATGGCATATATGCTGCTAAAAAACTTGAAAAATTTTATGGTCACAGAGGCAACCATATGAGAAAGAGAATCTTATGAGTGGGAAAGTACAAAGAGACTGAGATGGAGCCAAACTGCTTTACTAATTAAAAAAAAAATTTACTCACTCTACTATTTAATATATAACTTTTTTCTTTTTAATAAAGATTTATTTATTTATTATGTATGCAGCATTCTGCCTGCATATCTACACACCAGAAGAGGGCACCAGATCTCATTATAGATGGCTATGAGCCACCATGTGGTTGCTGGGAATTGAACTCAGGACCTCTGGAAGAACAGCCAATGCTCTTAAACACTGAGCCATCTCTCCAGCCCCTTAATATATAACTTTCAATACAGCAGAAAGAAATTGTTCTATATCTACTCTAGAAATTTTGTATCTGTATTCTGCATTTTATATCTGTAGAAACACTACTGTTATTTTTGTGACGTGAGGAATGAACTACATGCATGCTAGAAAAGCATTCTGTCACTGAGTTACATGCCCAGCACACAGGTAGGACTATGACCAGAATGGTGGCCTTAGGGGAACTTTAATGTTCCCAGAAAAGAGGCTGTTGGGATGACTCCTAAACAAGATTCTTCATTAAAGACTGATCAGGGAAGAGGTATTGGTGGCAAGGCTTAGGAAAAGACAAGAGACTTGGTAAGCAGAATCAATACCCAAGTGATTAAAGCCTGGGCTAGAAAATCAGACTGGGGCTTGACTTTCTGCAGCCTCCAAGGGCTGGTACTGCTATTCATACAACTGTTTCCTGGCTTAATGAAAAGGAGATAGTATGTGTATTCAAGTAACAGTGACAACTATGGGCATACATCAAAGCTTCCAAACCTATTAATGTCCTACTCAAAAAGCTGTGACTCAGTGTAAGTCCTAAACTATTCCTTTAAACATTCAACAAATCCTTCCTCAGGACAGGACTGTCAAGGAAGCAAACAGGCAAATCTTGGTCCCTAAAGTCATGTCTGACCACATTAATCCCAACTATTTCCTCCTCTGAAATGCTTTTGTCCCTATTGTTCATCTCAGTACTTATGCATGCACAAAATTTTTATTTTTTGAGACAGGGTTTCTCTGTGTAGCCCTAGCTGTCCTGGAACGAGCTCTGTAGACCAGGCTGGTCTCCAACTCACAGGGATCCTCCTACCTCTGTCTCCTGAGTACTGGGATTAAGGGTGTGCACTACCACCGCCCTGCTACAATTATTATATACATAATAAATAAATTAAAAAAAAAAAAGAAAGAAAATCCAGCCAGGCGGTGGTGCATGCCTTTAATCCCAGCACTCGGGAGGCAGAGGTAGGAGGATCTTTGTGAGTTAGAGGCCAGCCTGGTCTACAAGAGCTAGTTCCAGGACAGGCTCCAAAGCTACAGAGAAACCCTGTCTCAAAAAAAAAAGAAAGAAAGAAAGAAAGAAAGAAAGAAAGAAAGAAAGAAAGAAAGAAAGGAAGGAAGGAAGGAAGGAAGGAAGGAAGGAAGGAAGGAAATCCAAACCAAACACAGTGATAAATGCCTTAAAATCCCAGCACTCAGGAGGCAAGGCTGGAGAGACAACTTACGAGTTAAAAGCAGGTACTACTGTTTCTAAGGACTGGAATTCAATCCCCTACCTCAGGAAGCTCATAGCTGCCTGGAACTTCAGTCCCCGGGTATCTAACCCCTCTGACCTTTATGAGCAAATTCCCTAATGTGCACATAACCCCATCATATGCATAATTAAAAATGTAAATCTTAAAAAAAAATCTATGGAGTACAGTCAGAAAACAGACAACATCCACAAATAGTTATTTTGACCCCTCCCTATCTAGACCCCCAAAAGCCTCCTGTTAATAAGATGTACAGAAGGCTGGAGTGGCTCAGCGGTTAAGAGCACTGACTAACTGCTCTTCCAAAGGTCCTGAGTTCAATTCCCAGGAACCACGTGGTGGCTCACAACCATGTGTAATGAGATCTGGTGCCCTCTTCTGGCCTGAAGGCATACATACAGACAGAATACTGAGAATAGTATATACATAATAAATAAATAAATTTATTATTTTTTTTTTAAAAAATAAGATGGACAGAGAAGTCCAGGGTAAGAAAAATCTCTTGAAGAATGGGAATTACTTTTAAATATTTTTAATTTTATGTCTATATTTAGTCTGCAAGTATGTATGTGCCTCCATATGTATGTCTTGTGCCCATGGAGAAGCAAAGAAGGTATGGGATTCCCTGAAATTGGACTTCCAGGTGGTTTGTGAATGGACACATGGGTGCTGGGAACCAAACTCAAGTCCTCTAGGAGAGCAATAAGCAAGTGCAACCACTGAACATCTATCCAGCCTTGTGAATTCTTTATGAACCAGGGTTCCTGAGCAATGCTCACATCTAGAGTACACTATTTACCAGTTATGTGTTATAGAGATGAATACTTTGCATTGGCATGGATCTTGGTCTTATTGATACAAATTTAAAGTCAATTTATTATACTGTAAATATGTGCTTAAGGTATTATGTTTGTGTAGTTCATTTAAAATGTAATATATAATTTAAAATTACAAATTAATTGATAATCCTTTCTAATAGTCAAACTTATAGTCATGTTGGTTAGTTTTTCTATATATAAAGAGATTTATTTCAGTTAGATAAATAATTTTTAACACTTCAAAAACCTATGGAATATGGCCTGGCATTTAAAATGTTTTAAGAATTTAGACTTTTCTCAACAAGGAGACATATTTGCTTCTGGCAGCACCAATTACTTCAGAGAGGTTGATGGGCATTGAAAAAACTCGTTATGGAATTTGCCTTCAATGTGACAAGGCTAGTCATTTGGGTAAGAAACTGCTCTTGCCTTGATTGCTTGATGGCATGCTGTGTAAACTGGACATGCAGGACCCACAGAAAAATGACTGCTGAACATTCCAAAAGACAGGATGGTCCTTCAGGGTTCCTGCCAGACATTCTGCAGGATACAGAAGAAAGTGACTGACAAACTGCCAAGATAGGCAAAATAGCCTTTCAAATTTCCTGCTTCATGAAAAAGTGTGCTAGATACTATGGGCCTGTAGCCTGAAGATGATGCCCCAACATTACAGAAGAACTTTGGGTGACTGTCCAGGAAGGGAGATGTCAATCCTAGAATTTTGGAAGCTGCTTACAATGCACTTCTTATTTACTAAGGTAACATTATAACCTTCTGGGGTCTTTGAAGAGCTGAAGACAGTTATAGTTTGCCTTAGTTATGATAAAAGGTAAATTAAATATGAAACTTTAGACTCACAAAGATAAAATAGGTGATAGTATATTTTCTTAAATTTTACCAGATACAAAGAGACTAAATATTGTAACAAAAAAAAAAAAAAAACCCAAAACGGGAGATTATGTGGGATGTCCTTCTGTATTTTATTGACTAAAAATAAAGCTGTTTCAGCCACTGGCTTAGCAGAGTAAAGCCAGACAGGAAATCTAAACAGAGATATAAAGTAGGCAGTCAGAGAGACACCATGTAGCTGCTGAAGGAGAAGGACCCAGAACCTTTCCGGTAAGCCACAGCTTGTGGCAATACACAGATTAATAGAAATGGGTTAACTTAAGATATAAGAGCTAGCTAGAAATATCCGAATTATTGGCCAAACAGTGGTTGTAGTTTTTTTTGTTTGTTTGTTTGTTTTTCGAGGCAGGGTTTCTCTGTAGCTTTGGTGCCTGTCCCAGAACTAGCTCTGTAGACTAGGCTGGCCTCGAACTCACAGAGATCCGCCTGCCTCTGCCTCCCGAGTGCTAGGATTAAAGGCGTGTGCCACCACCACCGGGCTAGTGTTGTAGTTAATAAAGTTGGAGGTCTGGGTGGCTGGGATACGAGCAGCCTCCGCCTCCAATGTGTCACCCTATACCCAACTCTTCAACCAACTTCAAATTCCTGAAAGCAAAACAGACCTGAAGACTTAGAGAACTGGGGAAAGGGGCTCTAAAAGTGACCTATCAGCATCCTGTGAAAAACTTACTACTTCCCCATGTCCTCATCGGTCAGAAACATTGGCACAAAAATTCTACCAATATTAGATAAGTCTTTCTGTTGCTAAAATGAGTGCAGACAACAGCAGTGGGCTCCATGCAGGCACTAGAACTGCTTGAATTAGAGTTTTCAGCATTTAGCACCAACAGAAACAAGTCAGTAGGCCTCACATAAGTGAAAACACAAGTTGCCATAGAAACTTGCACATCACGATAAATGGTAGGGTGGGGGTAGGGAAGTAGGTCAATATTTCTGCTTAACCAGCTCTATTCAGTATCTTCCTCTCCTTGACTGAAACAGCATTCTCCGCCTGCCAGATCCCCACCAGGAGCAAGAGAGGAACATCAGGTAAGCTGTCCAGAAAAATGGTGACTGAGGAGTCTGAGAAGAAGGAAGGGGAACCAAGAGGAAGGTCAACTCAAAATCTCCAGAGTAACCTGGATCTACCCACAGGGAAAGCAGTCACCAATCTAGGGCGTCAGTGCTAAGAAACTGTTGCTGGGTTACTACAAATCAGAAGCTGTCACCCTCTTCCCCACTCCACCCCCAACACACACACCAGCAGTTTAAATGCATGTAATGGAACACTGGGGAATGCATTATTAGCAGCTTAGGGATGACTACAGTGGGGGGGGGCACTCTGTAGCACAGGAGGAACTCGGTCCCTTAGACAGCATCCTTGATGGCTAGAAACCATGCAGAGCTACAAGACACTCTAAAAAAGGAAAGAGGGAGGCTCATAGATTCCTTTTCTAAGTAAGTTGATTTTGAAAGAAAAAATAAAACTAAACTGACTTTGCACAAAGATATTGTCCTTCAACACTAGTATCTGTGATGACTCTTTCATCCAAGCAGGCAAAGGAAAATTCTCTGGGTTGTTGTGGGGAGTGTCAGAGCCCATTATCAGTTCTTCCCAGCTGTGTCAAAAAAATGTGGGCAGCAAGTTAAGAAGACACTCTTGGAAGCAGGTGCTGTTCCCATTTCCCACAGCTGTTTGTGCCTGCACAGGGATAGCTAAGGGCATTGCTAATGATTTCAACCATCTACTGTGTGTCCTAGTAGTCTAGAAAACAACAAGGTAATATTTGGAGGAGAAGGGAGCTATGGAAAGCAAAGGCATCTATTAAACTAGTGATCAAATTAAACACTAACTCCTGGGTACCCCACTGCACAGTCCCAAAGCCAGTCTAGGCATCCATGGAAAGGACACTCTATAGGAGCAGTTTCAATCCTGCAGTACATCTAGTTGTGGAGGAAGAATTGGCTCAGCTTCAAATCTGACCCTCATGTTTTCAAAAAACAAGGCAACATCTGCGAATCATTCCTTAGTGCTCCCACACACATCTATCTACCTCTCTGTCTATAGCAACAAAGACTCAAAGACAGCAACATTGAGTAGAGCTCTGGAGACCCAAAATGAATGCCCAAGTCCTTGGAAGAGGCAGCCCCAGAACAAGCCTGTTATATGGGCACAGAGACCTGCAGGAGTCAGTACTAGCCTCCTCACACACCACGAGAATAAAGAGCTGGGCAGTAAAGCAGAGGCTAGAAAGTGTGTCTTGGGCTGGAGAGATGGCTCAGTGGTTAAGAGCATTGCTGCTCTTTCAAAGGTCCTGAGTTCAATTCCCAGCAACCACATGGTGGCTCACAACCATCTGTAATGAGGTCTAGTGCCCTCTTCTGGCCTTCAGGCATACACGCAGAAAGAATATTGTATACATAATTAAAAAAAAAAAAGTGCGTCTCCAGTCAACAAGCAGACCACTCTTGCAGGGAGACGTGTGAGCAAACACAGGCCATTCTATCAGTACTTCCCAGGGGCAATCAGAAAACCAGTTGGCTTGTTTTGTGTGTATGTATGTATGTGTGTGTGTGTGTGTGTGTGTGTGTGTGTGTG